GAGCACTGGATAGCTTTCCAATGTCCTAATTCTTCAAAGAATCTCGTTCCCCACATTTTTCTCCCAGGCTCTTGGTGTATCTGTCGTTTGCTTTTACTCTAACTTTTTGCTGCAGGCAGAGGGGTTGTTCACACTCACTTGCCTCTCTGGGTTCTTGTGGGATACCTCTGTCTGGCTGCTTTCTTTGTCCTGAAGGCATTTCATTCTAGGCATGGGGTGGTTTTTGTAATGTATCAGCAGGTGATTTCATTTAATATGCAAAAAAAAAAAAGTAAATTTCAATTGCTTGAGGGATTAGAGCAGTTAAATTTAGGGGTTTCTTCCTTGAATCAGTTTGAATAACCATGAGATTCACCTTCTCCATTCTTACAGCCACTGTCATATAGGTCGCTTTGTGTAGTCTTGTCTTTAGACATTACTCATCAATCCACTGAATCACTTGCAGTTCTCCAGAGATATCAGGCTCTTTCATAACCTCCGACCCTCCAAACATACCTCTTCCAGGAATACTGTTACCTCTTATTCTTCTAATAGACATTTTTAATATATACACCAGGTTAAATTTGATAATATTTTGTTTAGGATTCTTGTATAAGGGATATTTGTCATTTTTATTTTTTCTTGTATTGGTTTTGTCAAGTTGTACTTCCAAATTAACTTTTGCATTTCATCTAAAATGTCAAGTTCATTGGTATGAATAATATCGTATTATTTCTGTAGCATTGGCAGTGAGGTTCCTCCTTTCCTTTTTGATAATGATAATTAATATTTTCCCCTGTTTTTCTTGATCAGTTTTGCTAGGGGGGTTACAAATTTTATTAGTCTTTATAAAGCTAACTTTTAGTTCTATAAATTTTCTTTACTATATGACTTTTCTATTTCAGAGATTTCTGTTTTTATTATTCCCTTTTGCTTTCTTGTTTTTTAATTTATTTTTCTAGCTTCTTGAGCTGTACTTGATTATCAGCATTCTAATATACACATTTAGAACTATAAATTTCTCTCTAAACATTGGTTTAGCTTCATCTTATAAATTCTGATGTGGTTTTGGTCTTCGATGAAAAATATTTCCTAATTGTCTTTATGACTTAAAAGTCTGGTGCTCGTTTTCCAGACGTTTGGGGATTGTCAGTGTGTCTTGTGCGGTGTGAGGTTGCTGGGTGTGGGCTGCCACTGTCTGTGTGGCTTTTGGATGTGTGATGACTGAAGCCACCTGCTGTTGGTTGATTTACCGGTAATTGATTTAATCATTTCTGATGCTAGTGGTTGCTATAGCTTCATTTAAAAAAAGTATTCATGTTAAAGAGGGTGGACTTTACTTTTCTCACTGTCAGCGCAGCGCTTCAGAAACACTTTCACAGGCCCAAAGTGTCCAAAAACATCTGGGGGTTCAAGGTAGTCCAAGGCGTTGGCCCAGGCAGCACCCTCCTAGGTATTGGGTTTCACCTCCTGGGGGGGCACTGTCTTCAGTGCTGAAGTGTTGGCTGAGCTGTGAGAGAAGCGTTTTCTGGAATTCTGCTCCTCTCACAGTCTGGTCCTGGGCCCGTTGTTCAGCCTCACCTTCCCTCCTTAGGAGCAGGGTCTCCTTCAGTGCTAGGGAGTGCTCTGGCTTTCACGCTGTGTCTCTAGTTGGTGGCCGGCGGGTTGAGTGTTCCAGGGGAAAGCCGTTCACAGGGAAGCGTCCCCACTAGAGGCACTTTGCCGCAGCTTCCTCTCGTTAGCATATCGATGGCCTTTAACAGCGATCAGAGGATTCCACAGTCCTCACAATTACCCATGCTCCGCTAGTTATTTCTCAAATACCGGGTGGAGATATGGCACAGGCCGATTGCATTAGTCAGTGCATCACCTTCCACTGGTGTCCCAGTGGAAGTCTTAGTCACTGGGATGCTATAAATAGCATGTTGTGGGTTGTTACCACCCGGTCTGCACCTGCAGTGTGGGGCGTATGGAAATGATAAGGGAGTCTGAGAGGATATGGGTGTAATTCCCGATGCTGTCGGCCCCTCACGAAGACCTGTCTATTTTCAAGGATGCCGGTTAATACTGAATTACTTTCTAAAGGTGTCCTACTGATTTATGCCTATGAGAATGCATTTTCCTCACATCCTTGCCAATGTTTTATCAGTCTTTTAGATCTTAACCATTCTATTGGGCAAATACTGGTATGCTGCTCTGATGTCATTTCGCATGTTCTTTATTATTATTGATGGGTTTGGGTCACATCAGGAAAGGGAGGCACTTGGTAATTTTAGCAGGAAAAGTTTAATGTGAAAGATGATTGACTGTTACAGGGATTGGAGTAATGAGCACTTGGCTAGTAAGAAGTAAAGAGAACTTTGAAAAGTATGGGAGTAGCAGGTAGAAGGAGCAGCCCCTCATGGCTGCGTGTGAACCGTAAGCTGTAAGCAGCCATGCTCTTAGGCCGAGACAGAGCACGGGAGAGCCCCCTCCTCCACCCTGACATCCAGGTCTTGTTGGGAGGCCCTGGCCTGGCTGTGGCTTACAGAATGGCAGGAAAGTTGCCATAATCCTGCCCTGATAGAACTTGCTTGACATCTGCCCCTTGGAACTTGCCATGGTTACCTTCTAGGATGCTGGGAAAAGCTATTCATGGGGCAGTGTTCTACTAGAGGCTCGAGGGGAAGTGCCGGGGCCGCTGTTAGTGGCTGGGTGCTACTGGCCGAAAGGTACTGTGGGGGCCCAGGACTGGAGAAGCCAGCAAGCTGCAGGAGATCCCTACGTGCATGGGAACCAGGAAACAAAACTCTTTGCTCTTGCAGTGTCTGCATCCACAGTGCACTCTATCAACAAAGCATGTGCTGTCTGGCAGAGCAAAGATATTTAAAGGGCCCGGATCAATTTTCACAGAGTAGGCCAGTCGTGTGAATTTTGAGGTGAGCGGCAGTGGGGGATTGGCATGATCTACCCCTTGGTTATTCAGCTCCTGTATGTTCCCCGTAAACATAGGTGAAGGTGAACTCCCGTGCATCCAGACAGCTCTATATTTCTACCTGAGAAGATACACTTTTGCCAGGTGTCCAAAGTGAAGAAACACACAGCTCCAAGAGTCATTCATGTCTCTTTGGTTATTTTAATTAATCTTCATATACAGTCACAGTCACATGAATATTCCATTATCTAAAGTCTAAGTTGTGACGTTAACTTAGGACAACTTGTATGCAAAACACAAATGTGGGGAGAGAAGACATACATGTGGAGAGCAAATAGAAACCCTGCAAAGCTGTTAGGATTCTTGTCTCTGTAATCGGTTGTAAGACCGTAACTGACATCTGTGGTTTTATTCTTCCACACGGGGCTCCACGTTTCCCCTGTCCTCAGCTAGGATCAGCTGGTGGGGATTTGGCCTGGTGGAGGGGTGATCCAAGCCCAGTGGGTTAAATCCTCAGTCACCCTGCTGTGGTCCTGATATTTTTATGGACCTAACGCACAGATCTCTCGCCCTGTTTTAGCTGTGTCGAATGTGTAGTGTTTAACCTGTCCATTGAATCGATTTGGTTATGGTAGTTTTTAGTATTAGAATTTCCATTATTTTTTTTCAAATGCTCTCTGTTGCTTTTTGAAGTTTTCCATTAACTGCCCCCATTTAAAATTGTCTTTTGTCTTTGTGAATTTAGTAAGGCCTGTTTGTTTGAGGGGATGCATCTGATAATCTCCGTCCTCTCGTCTGTTCCTTCCTCTGACTAATTAGTTTTGATCATGCTAGACCCTGTAATTTAAACAGTTACAGGTAGAAACAGTTTGAGACCTAGGATGATGTTGTCTCTCTTTGGAGAGTTTTGTTTGTCTCTCCTGTTGGGCACTTAGGCATGCTGGCAGTTCTGTCCCTGGGAGCCAGCTGTGTCTTGGGGTTCGCTGTCCTCCTCCCACCCCCGATAACTCATCCGGGGAAGGGCTTAGTTTACTTCAGGCACACCGTTACCCCGTTACCCCGAGAACAAGTCATTGTGTCCCAGTCCAAAGTGCCATGTTGTTTATTCGAGCCCCTGCCATTGGCGGGTCATTGCCTCCAAGTTTTACCGCCCCCCACACCCCCCCAGCTGTGGCTGCCAAAAGCACTCTCAGCCTTGGGCGGTGTCTTCCAACCGACAGATCTCTCCAGAGCAAAAGCAGCTCTGAATGCCTGGAATTTGCAACTTCTTGAGCTTGCCTTGGCAGATCTTAGCATTTTGTTACTTAGAGCATGCTTTTTAGATTTTAAAACTGTTCCTTAGCGTTTTAAGTTGTCCTCAGTGGCGGGTTTGTCTGAATTACCTCATCTGGTACTATTGGAAGTGAAAAAATCAGGACAAGTTATTTAACCTGTGTTTCTCATCTTCAAGACGGGATTAATAATTGCTTAACTCTCTCGAACAGTTTTGGGGATTTTTTTCACTTCCAAATGGGAGAAATAGACAAAAAAACTGTACTTAAAAATAACTAAATAAAAAAATGAGGAAAAAAAGTTTTTCAACTGAAAAAAAAAAAAAAGAAAGTGGTAATAAAAACAGGTAGCCAACCTCAGTAAGTCTGGTGACAGCTGCTTGGCCATCCTGGTGAAGAGAAGCAAACCCAGCAGACAGTGTAGCTCCGCAGGGAGTGGTCACACACAGTGATTCTGCTCTTCACAGAGCCGCATTTTTCAGTGTGTTCGATTTTCCTTCTTTTGCCTCCACCTAACTTCGTGCAGAAGAACTTTAACTTAATCTGTTTTGTATCAACATCCAACCCATCAATACAATATTCAACCTTTCACTGCCTTTCCCATTATGTAAAATAAAAGTCTTATTACATCAAGGTTTTAAGACATCCAAAATAAAATTCTTTTCAGATGTGAGAGATACATGGTAATTTGAAAAATGTTCCAAGTTGTAAACAACATTATTTTTTTGTAAATTGCTGGTCCCATTCCTTTGTTTTAATGTCTCTTAAATTTTCTTCTGCTACTTTGTGTCTTAAAGTTGCTTTAAGGTAATTATTTTCATGGTTTTGTTTTCTAGGTTAACAGAACCTTCTGGATATTTAACAGATGGTCCAATTAACTATAAGTATAAAACTAAATGTACATGGCTAATTGAAGGCTAGTAAGTATACAATTTGGGTTACTTGTTTTATTCTGAAATGATAAAAAAGATGGTCATATCAATGTTATAGCAGTAAGGTATAACAACTTGATAATTATAGTTTATTTAGTTGCTTATTGTTAGAAGAACATTCACAATACTTTTATGGGATTTAGAACTGTTAGATATCATGTTTAATATAAACTACAATACCCAATCAGTTGTGATAATAGTTTAATATATTAATAGTGTAATATATTTTATTTTTTAGTTATGTTAGTCGGGCATTAAGTCAAGTAGGCATTTTTGACTTCCTTTAAACATCTTGTTGTGGAATTCGAAGGTTCCAAAGAAAGTAAAAATAGTCCATGCTGGATAATGCCATTGGTTTATATTATTCAGCATTTCAGTTCTAAGGGTGTTTAAAAAACAATAGAATAGAGTGAATTATCCTTTCATAGGTATTTTTTCAGTAATAGGGGCTTGAGACTGACTTTTATTTAAACATTGTGAATGGATTATAAAAGAATTGATATGAATTGGTTGGACCATTTTATGATTTTTAGAGAGTGTGTTTAGAAAATTGGTATTTTGTCTATAGCCACACCACCCTGAACGTGCCCGATCTCGTCTAATCTCGGAAGCTAAGCAGGGTCGGACCTGGTCAGTACTTGGATGGGAGAAAACTGGTATTTTGAGGGTTATTTAAAAAGTTTTTAGGACTTAAAAGTTATTAATTCCTTGTGTGTCTGTGGTCTCATTTTGTTTATTTGTTAATAGTATATCATACTGAGACCTTTCAATTGAACTTAGAAGACTCTATTCAGGCCTCTACTTAAGGATTGTATAGAAATATGAATAGTTGCTTCTTGAGTGTTGAATTTTAGAATTCAACTTTATTCAAGTACAATTTGCATATAACAAAATGCACCCACATTAAGTATACAGTTCAATAAGGTTTCAGTAATATATACAATTTATGTAACCTCCACCTTAATCAAGAGGTAGAACGTTTCCTGTGGACTGAGTTTTTAGAAATCGATGATACATACATATGGCCTGTTAATAGATTTTGAAGTTGCATGTCTTTGTTTTACAAATTAGATATGACTGCTTATCAATCTTTTACACCGGTGACTGAGGGATTTATAGCTAAATTAACTGTAAATAGGTTTTAATAAAATACCCAACATTTCTTCAGACTGTGCTTTGCATACTCCATATTAATTTTAAAATGTTTTATTGTTTTTTTCAGCCCAAATGCCGTGTTAAGGTTAAGATTCAACCATTTTGCTACGGAATGTAGCTGGGATCACATGTATGTTTACGATGGGGATTCAATATACGCACCTTTAATAGCTGTGCTTAGGTGAGTGTTTGTGTTTCATTGATGAACTGACAGTTTTAGAAAAGTAACCATGTGTAATTTATTAATTTAAATACATTCTGGTCTGTACTTCAAAATAAATTTGCAGAGATACTGACAATCAACTTAGCTGTATATATAATAATGTCGGTATCAATATAGCAAAGATACATTAAGTTTTGTGTCAGAAATGGAGAGTTCTTACTGACTGTCCTCAATTTTGCTACATACAGTGTATTCTTTTAAAGTGAGTCGATGATATTTTCAGAACTATTTGGGTAGATTAATGTGAGTTCTAGCTGACAAAAAAAATATATATATAAATAGGTGTCTTTTTATTTTAGCAAAATGATAACATTTAAAATGTTTGTTAAAAGGTTAAGTTATACTTTATTTAATGGTTTAATAAAGAAGGTATGTCTACCAGTTCTCAAAATTTAGGAGTTTTGGTTGCTTCCAAGCATTTTCTTAGTAGTTAGACTTAATTTTAAAATCATAAAAATTTTAATATCCATTTAGAAACCTCTATGTTTGCATGTACAGATTATTATAGAACGTTTTACAAGTAGGAGAAAACAGACATAGGAAAAGTCGTGAACACGTGGTGTGGTCTTCGTGTGCAAGTTGACCAATGTGACCGTTCACCAGAGTCACTCTGTGTCACTCCTTCCTGTGGTTATTTGCACGGTGTCTCTTATATGTTACATCACTGTTAAAAACTGAAGCACGGATCAAAGGTTATTGTTTCCTTCAAGATTTTCCCTTTTCTTTTTACTATTTATGTTGCAAACACTTGGTGTATCAGGCATGGGAATTCTTATTTTTTCCGGACAAACATGCAGGGACTTGTATTTCCAAATGACAATTTCAAAGTGACTCCTTGGGAACTGGGACACTTGCGTGACATTGCTGTCACCCAAATACTTTTAGAACGTAAGTTTTGAGTTGTTTGAAAAGTATGTAAAGAGTAGCCATGAATGGCCCTCCCTCACAGAACAGTAGATGGAGAGCAGAGTAGAATAATTACATGAATAATTACAGTGTCAGGCAACTCATCGAGACAGTTGGATGAGGTCCTGGGTGCATCCACTTATGTTTAGCAATTGAGATGTCATTCTGCTGTCATCGCTCTACTTTTATGACACTGTCCACCGACATCGTCTTGATGTGTCTTTCCATCTGTTCCTCTAGTAGCTGTAATGACTTTGCTTTCATCGATAGTGGTTCGTTAACACTCTTACCTGCCCTTCCCTGACACGAGAGGAAACCTTTGTGAGGTGGCAGGATGGGACCTAGCGATCGCCTGGGAAGGTGGGACAGTGAGTCTTCATTGGCAGGCGTCCCTGTGAGTGGTCCTGAGGGAGATGAAACAAGTTACGCTTGCTCAGTGCCCACTTGATGCTAAGCTCTGTGTAGGCAGTTTAAATGCCACGTGATGAGGCTCTTGTGGAAGAATTGCTGTTACCCCCATTTTACAGCTGAGAAAGTTGAGACTCACATAAATTAAGTTCACATATAATAATAGCTGGTAGAATCAGCTTAGGACTGACTTAAAAGCTAAACTGTCTTTTATGTTCCTTAGAATTCAGAATCTAATTGTCCGAGGTATTCCAGTTGTGTTAAGTATTTGCTATTCGACAAACATTTCATAACCTACTCAATTCCAGAGGCGGTCATAGGCTTGGAGGACACAGTGGGAAAGAAGGTCCAGGGATGTCCAACCTGCATCCTCTGGATGGCTCTGAACTCAGGCCCGCACAACATTGTAAATTTACTTACGACATTACGAGGTGTTTTTGTGATTATGTGTTGCAATTCTTCTTCCAGTGTGGCCCAGAGATGCCAAAAGGTTGGACACCCCTGCATGACTTCAGATGCCGACCGCCTGGAGTTGAGCCAGACGTGATAGGTTATGTTACAGCCCTTCATACAACTGCCCTTAGTTCAGACACCAGCTGCCGGTTCAGGGGTTCCCACATCTGACCAGCTAGCTACAAATTTAGGGGTGCACACTATCCCCTGAGGTTAAATAGTTCGGTAGAACGACTTGCAGTACTAGGGAAGGCACTCCACATATCATTACAATGTATTACAGAGGATAAAAATCACAGCCAGCCAAGCGAAGAGGCATATTGGGGGATGTCTGGGAGGATGACAGATGAAGCACCTGTGTCCCCAGGACGTGTCACTGCCAGGACGCTTCCCTGAGCTACAGGTGTCCAGAGTTTTTATTGGGATTTTGTTTATGTAGGCATGATTGATTGAACTGTTGGCCGCAAGGCTGAACTCAGGCTCTCGCTCCCACACTCTCTCTGGAAGGCAGATTGAGTCCTTGCGCTTGAGGCCCCAGCTCTTTGCATCACACGGTTGGTCTCCCCGGTGGGGCAGGCCCCCACCCTGAGTCATCTCGGGAGCCTGGGCTACACAGGGACCCGCCATGAGTCATCTCACCACTGTGAACTGTCAGGGTTCATGGGCAAATAACAGAGCCGCTCCTGTCCCTGGGGAAATTCCAAGGGTTTGGAGGGCATATGACTGCATAGTAGTTTGCCATAGTGTCAGCTTAGAAACAGATTTTTTTTTACATAGCACAATAAATGTTATGACCAGGTTTTAGAAGGAGTACTGTATGATTTCAGGGGAACTAACTACTTCATGGTGAGCTTCATCATGAGTAGGAGAAGGATAGGCAAAGTATGAGGAGGACCAGATAGGGTATTTTGATAGAGAAAAATCATATGTCTAAAGGCATAGACATACCAAAAGAACATTATATTTTGGGATAATGGATGACGATAAGTCGTTATGAGTAATGTGATCATGAGATGCAAAGGACCAGGTGCAAAGGACCGGGCAGGAGCCAGGTCACTCAAATCAGCCGTAGTCCGGCACATCTGCTGCGTGCTTGTTATACGGCAGGCAGGGTGCAAGTGCGTTCTTTATGTACGTTAACTTGTTTAATGCACATTCAATGCACATTGGTGGTGAGGGACAGTTACCTGTTAGTCGGACACTACTGTTGCTGGGTTGTAAGTGAAGAATTGAGGCCCAGAGAGACTCTGTGAGGGACCCAAAGTTGCCCAGCTGGTAACTGGTGGAGTTGGAATATGAGCTCAGGTTTTGCACTCCCTCAATCCCTGTAGTACTGCTTTCTTGTGTCTCTCACTCCAGAACTTAGACTTTGCAGGCAAGACTTTTTAGATTGTGGAGAATGGACAGGATTGGGGAAGTGTAATGTATTTAATTTTATAGTCTGCTGGGCTTCACATTTATAAAATCATATGTAGCAATCATTTGAGCCCTAGGAAGATACTATGTTCCTACAGGGGGATGCTGCAGTCCACAGTCAGCTGACTCCAAGTTCAAGTGTTGAGGTGATGGCCACCCAAGCTGCAGTGCAGTCCCCTGGAGGCCCTGCCTTTTACCAGCTCACATTTACATCCGTTCTTTGGGTGGTCCTAGGTGAAAGTGAGGGTCCAGGCTCCCACACTTTGTTTCCCTAGCTCTGTGCCACAGCCCAGCTCCTTAGTCCTTCCGACCTCACCTCCACTCAGTGAATGTCTATAAGGAGAAAGGGCCTTGGTGCCTGGGCTGGGCACACCACCGTCTTCTTGGTTTTCCAGTGCATCCACACGGATCTGTTTGTTTTTATATAACGTGCCATTTTTCCAGTTGATGTCAGAAGCTGGGTTGTTTGGTCCAAATCACATGGTGTGTCATACAAGAGGCGGAAACCCTTGTTTATTTAATGCTTTTAAAATACTGATTAACAAACAACCAAGCAAATAAATCTTTAAAAAAATCTTTTTCAGAGGGATTAACTGTTTTTATTATAAAGTCTTGAAAATATTGTTTTCAGCAAAGTACTCATTTTGATTTAGTCCCTCTGCAATGAAAACTCTACATGTGCAACTAAAGACTGGTGTTACAGAATTTGAATTCCCTGGTCAGTCTCCCGTTAAAATCTTTTGGTCCTTCACAAACATGAGCTAGTGGATGTAATAATCGTTATCAAAGCATCAAGAGTTGAATACTTTTTGTTTGTTTTTGAAACTATGTTTGCCAAATAAATGGACTCTAGTATTTTATTTGTTCTCTCAAATGTGCTTTGAATCAGGGAATTTAGTTCCCGGTGGTGCCTAAACGTGGGTTTAACAGTGAGTGAAGGAACGGCCCGCTTGAGTGGTGGGATTTGTTGTTAGACGATGGCAGTGTAAGTAACGAAGATACGCCATTTTTCTCCATGAGTAAATAGGTTTAAAAAAGGGGAGAAGTACCTGTTGTAACTTCAATTCTTCCTTTTGCACATTTACAGTTTTCCCCACCAAGTTACGTATTTATTTTTTTCGTGCCTATAGTCTTTTTTAAAAAGATTTTATTTATCTTTAGAGGGGAAGGGAAGGAGAGAGGGACAGAAACATCAATGTATGGTTGTCTCTCATGTGTCCCCTGCTAGGAACTGGCCTGCAACCCAGACATGTGCCCTGATTGGGAATCGAACCATCGTTGTTTGGTTTGCAGGCCCACTCACAATCCACTGAGCTACACCAGCCAGGATTGTGCCTGTAGTCTTAAGTGAACAATGTGATGCATTTTTGAATAGTTATATATTAATATATATGATTTGTGTAAGTAAGCAAAACTTTAAAGAAATATAAGAAGTATGTATTTTCAGGTGACCTAAAACCTGTGGATTAGTATCAGAAGTGAACGGCTTTTGCCAGGACACCATTTCAGTCCCTTAGCTGGTGCGGGACGTTCTAGTGTCACCAGAATTTCTAACCAGGGGGAAAGAGGGAAGTGACAGGGTCACTTGTTAGAGGGCCAGGGTGGCTTTAAGGGAAGGTTTGTGTCCGAAGGTAAGTGGAAGGTAAGTGGCAGTGATGAGATGAGCAGTCCTGTGTCTGCTGACGCGCACAGCGCCCCCTTCGCTCTCTTGCAGTGGACTGATCGTCCCCGAGGTGCGGGGAAATGAGAGTGTGCCCGAGGTCGTCACCACGTCCGGCTACGCGCTGCTACACTTTTTCAGTGATGCTGCGTATAATCTAACTGGTTTCAACATTTTTTATTCGTGAGTATTTTTTAAATTAAATTTCACAGTGTAATAATTTTTATAACCTTACTTAAAAGAGTTCATTGTTTGTGTACATATCTTATATACAAGGAATGGGCTAGTGTGTTATATTTCAAAACATACAGGATCTCTCCGTGACCTAAAACGTTAATAACGTGCCTCAAAGTATTGTCTAAGCTAGCACTGGGATGCATTCTATGTCTCAGGACCTGGTGGTAGCACGTTTGGCTGAAAATTGATTACGAGATTTGAAACCGTCATGAAATGATTACGTAAACCAGTGCAAACTGGTGCAGCTTGGCTCCCGGCAGCCTGTGCGGGACTGACTGTAGGGAGCGTCTCTGCCTGTGCTCTGAGGGGCGAGGGGGGAGGGGCGAGGGTTGAGAGTTCACGTTCCCCGGGGCCCCAGACGGCAGGGGGCGCTCTGTGTCTGTTATGCTCTTTGACCCTTGTCCTGGCAATTCTGTCGAGTGGGAATTTTTCCCATTTTACTCAGGAGGAAATTGAGGCTTTAGGAGACAAGGTGGGTGGTTATATCACTGTCTTCTCTAAGCCAAAAATAATATTTATTGAGAATCTATTGCGTGTCTGACATTTTATATAATTTTTTTAAAATCTGAAATTCCAAGGGCAAAGTGAAGTAGCCAGAGATGCTTTCACAGGAACGGCACAGAGGAAATTATGTTTTCCCCCCTTTTTTAGGAGCGTAGGAAATGATAACCAGAGAATTTTCATCAGGAATAAAACATTCCAAATATCTTGAACCAGAGGTTTATTATGGAATTTATTAGTCTCAAGTATGTATGCAAGGGAGAATAAATTATAGTAGAATATACCAGTTGGTTAAAGGGTCTTAAAATAATATTCGACAAATATTTTATTTCTATATAACAGTGTATAGATGGTAGCATGCTATTTAAATATTAAATAACAAGTTTTAGCTTGGTTTCTCATGCACTTTGGGCATGCATGAATTTAATTTTTTTCTGTAAAATATATATTCAGATCACTTGAGTACTCAAGTCTTTATGGAGTGTTGTGCTTGGAACTGCCTGTGTCCTACAGAGGCTGGTACGTAGCTCTTGGGAGTTTGGAGTCCCCGTAGGCAGGCAAACTCAATGGGTGAACTAAGGCCAGTTGCAAATAAGTAGAACTGAGTTGCATTCAGGGTAAAAGGGCGCAGAGTAGAAAGTTGAAGTCACACTGTAAAATTGTGTTAGATGAGATCCCTAAGACGACATAAAATTATAAAGCTTACAAAAATACCAACCAGAATTCTTGTTCAGTTATCTTGAATTTGAATGTGTACGCACGGTGTTTTACAGAATCAATTCTTGCCCCAACAATTGCTCTGGCCACGGGAAATGTACAACCAGCGTCTCCGTTCCAAGTCGAGTGTACTGTGAGTGCGATAAGTACTGGAAGGGCGAAGCGTGCGATATCCCGTACTGTAAAGCCAATTGCGGCAGTCCGGACCACGGTTACTGCGACCTCACCGGGGAGAAGTCGTGTGTCTGCAACGACAGTTGGCAAGGTGAGCCTGTATGACGTCGTACGTGACGTCACGCATTTTGAACACGGATTCTCGAATCTGAGAGATTAATACAAATCTGCACTCATCTGCTTTGCTGAAGTGTGCAACACCCAAATCTCAGTTCTTTGTTTTTAGAATGTTCAGTTAACAAAAAATCAACTTCTTAATAGTTTGTTTTTTCAAAATAGAATTGGAGTAGATTTTGTCTAAACGCTCTTTTGAGAATCAATGAAGTATTATATGAAGCTCTTTAAATTGTAGGAGTGTGATCATTATTAATCTCCAAAGATTTGATGACTTGACTAAAATGAACACATGGTGTGTTCAAATTTGATTTATGATAGGTTATTGCAAAAATAGAGGCCTATTTTAAACATTTCTTAGGAAACACTGCCCTCTTGTGGCTCTTTGTAAAAGATCATAGCATATTTAAAAAGCAGCGTATTTCAGCCACTTAATGCAAAAGATTCCTGAGGATTTCCAAACAGTTTCTATAAGTATCTGCCATTAAACACTACTTTTAGACTACACTGAAGAGTTTTCATTTACTTAAATATTGGGTTTAAAGTCATAAATTTTGTCATCATGGAATTCAATGAAGAGAGACCTGTTATCCTTGTACTTACCCACCCATAGCCTACTTTGTGCTAATTATATTTACATATCAAGAGCTTAGTTTGTGCAGATATATTCATCCTGTTGATGGAGGGAGCTTTGACTTAGGACGTACATATTAGGAAGTGACATGCCCGCGTGGTACTCTAATACAGTTGGAGCAGTAGTTGCTATGAGACCTGTCTCAGTAAAAGCCAAAGGGAATGTGGCCGTCCTGGTTCTGTTCATCATTCTCGAGATCGTTTTTTACAAAACATGCTACCGAGGGTGCTGAGTACTTACTTCAAGGCGTTGTTTTAGGCTTCATGAAAACTATGCCCATCTTCAACCCATGCTGTCTCATTAAAGGGCTAGTTACTCCAACCACATCAAATACCTGTGATTACTTACTGAATTGAATTTGATTGCCTAGTATGATTACGACAGGAAGAAATTTCTCAGTGTTCTTTAATTATAGGGCCCTGTCTTTTATTAAGGGGCTATTCTAATAATGTGTGACCTTTCTTCTCCTAAAAAATGCCTGGAAGTATCTTTTTTTCATTTTCGCCTTGAAGCTAAAATCATGTTATTTTCCAAGGAGAGTGTGGTATATCAAGAATATATTTAAGTCGAGGCCTGGGTGATACAGGTCTAGCTTCTGCATGCAGTGATTTTCGCACCGCTGTTCATCATTTTATGTCAACACTCTTGAAAACAGAAGGGGAAATGTTCGTGTATACTGTTCTCTGTGAACACATCTGAGTTTTCTTGCTCTGTCCTTTTGTTCATACTTTGAAATGTTTTGTTTTCTGGGTTTTTGTCATATAGATCTGGTTCAAAATATGTTGTTTTTCTTGCCTTTCACATTAAAAAAATTAATTTATTTTAATTGTGTTTTTGATTTAATTTATTTCAATTGTTTGGCCTTTCACATTTTTTTATTCTCCTGAGTAATGCCTCAAATCATAAAAATTCCCGATTCTTATAAGCAAACGGAAATGGGGAAGGAAAAACAGAGAGATACTGTGAATAGTTTTCCATAAAAGAGAGACATTTTTAAATAAACTGTAAAATATTATAGGAATCACATACATGTTGTACCACTGTTAATTCATAATAGCCAAAGAACTGACTGCATCGGCGGGATGTGCCCAGCGGGCAGTGCTCGGTGGGCGAGATGGTGCGTTGCCCCTCAGGCTTGATCCCCGAGTCTGTTTTCAAGGATGTTGGCATCATGACTGAAATAGGGGGAAAACGAGGTTTTCATTTCAGATACGTAGGATGGGGAGGGATCGTGGAGGGAAAAACAAAAAGAGATTGGTTTCTAGGACGTCTGGGAAGTGATCCGAGACCCAGAGATGTTTGCAGCTGAGAGCTGAGAAGGCCGTCTTTTCTGAGAGCCCAAATCTGGCAGTTTTTTGTGATGTGTTGTTGGGAGCTGGCTTCTCTGGGTTAAAAATAACAGATCATTGCTACCTCCATTCTATTTTATACTTTTATGTTGGTTCACTTTGGTTATTCTGTCTGGTTCCATGTTAGTATTAATACAAAATAAGTGTTGTGGTCTAGAAATTGAGATTTTATGAAGAGAACACATGGGAAGATCGAGTTTCCTGTTAAGTCTTGAGTTCCCTTCCTGAACACTTTGCGGGTGCTGGTGCCCCTGTCTTCCTGTCTCCCTGTTTTCTCTGTTTAGTTTCCCTGGGGACCCTGCTCAGCCATTCCATTCTCCCTCTGCCTCCTCTCACTTCCTCAGCTAACTCTTTCTTCCTTAACCGTCTGTGCTAATTTTTTTTTTTACCATTTGAGGCATTTTTCCAAATTACGTAGGAGTGTATTTTAAGGACAGATACCACCATTAAAGTCAATTGTTCTCCTTTTCCTGTAGAAGGTACTTACAAAAACTGAAAGCTAAAGTAGTCGAGAATATAGAAAATGCTAAATGCAGCATTTTTGAAAGGCAAACAGGTTTCTTTTATGATGTTGAAATTTTGTCGTAATGTACGCCCACCAAATTACTTGAAGAACGGGGGGCCTGTGTGGACTCATCTGCTCCCGTGACATTTATCATGCGGTGAAATTTGTGTAAGTTTCAATAAGTCAAAGGAGGGAAAAAGGCAACGTTGAAAAGCATCTTCCTTCCAAATACATTTCAATAAAATAGTAAGAAAATATAGATCGTTGCCATAATGGACGAGGCCTGGGCTCAGTAGCCCTCTCCTGTCTGTTCAGAAAAACCCTGCCACGCGAAATGTTCGGTCAGATTAGACAGGTTAGAAAGACAAACCAGCAGGCTTCCGGGACAGTGTTTTCTTAATCCATCACGACACAATGTTTTTTCCCTGTACTGTAGGGACGAAAACAGGTCGCCATCTTCTCCGTGCCGGGCAGTTACCCAACCACTTGAAGGTTTTCCCAGGCCCTTCCTGTGCCGGAAGGGCCTGCTCAACCCTGGCGTTCAGCCCCTTTCGACATCTTAGGGGTATTCTCTGTATTTTCAGTATTTCTTCTCACTCCAGTTCAGTCACAGTTCTCATGTAAGGGTTGGGGTTTTCGGCCTTTAAATCACTGGGTGAAAGACAATATCTGAATCTGTGATCTGCTCGTGTTGAATGGTGCCTCTGATGCTTCCGTTAAAGTCACCCTTTGTTTGGACTTGACTGCAGTTTCCTGCAAGCCCTCCGTCCTTCACTGTGTCAAGGCCCTTCCCACGTCTGAACCTCCTCCTAGAGCAGCCTCACCGCGTCGACCTTCTGGTCCGAGGTCGGATCTCCCTGTAGCGTGCGTTCAGGGGCCCTGCCTTGTTCACTTGTAACACCGGTCACATTTGTGCCTCGGTGCTTCTTGGTTTCTCTTTCCTACTGACCTGTAAACTCCACGAAGTTAAAATGATTGTGTTTTGATGACCTTCCTGTCCCCAGCACCTTCTGTAGTGCTTGATGTGTAGTGGGCACTCAATTTTTTTAATTGAATGAATCTAATTAGTATTAGATTGTTAGTGTATTAACATGTGGACTTTGTAATATAGATGTTTGAGAAAACTAGTGGGTCCAGTAAGTGATGTAATTTGCTTGGCATAGAAATCAGAATTTTAAATATGGGGAGAAATAATGGAGTTTGAGCATTTTGTTCTTGCACCATTTATCATGGGTTTGCGGCACTTTTGGTCTCAGATTCTAACACCTGCCACTGGGTGGCAGTATTGGCCACCAGCACGCACTTCAACTCCAAGGCATCATTCCAGTTGTATGTACTTGGTAATTTGGTTCATTTTAGAAAAATGTAAAATCTTTTGACTCAAACGCATGGATATTTTATCCCAAAGTAGTCTTTCCTGGGCTAGCCGTATAATATATTAGGACACAGTCAGTTACTTTAAGACAGGGAATACGAGCTGTGAGTCACGACCCAATTCACAGAATGTTCTGTGCTAACCTCATCTAGGTTCCTTCCTCAAAGAGGCTGAAACTTTCGCCACCACTTGTTTCAGTGCCTCTGACTTGGGTAAGTAGGATAAGCAAATTCCGCTCTCAATCCTCGCCAACTGCGCCTTTGTTGGTTCCGACTATTCGGAACCAAAGTCTGGAAAGCTTTTTGTTAAGCCTGCCACCACCCAAAAATGATCAGGTGGAACCTCTGGTCTGGTCCTTGCTCTTGGACGGAAGCTTCTTTCCAGACTGTGACGGTGTCATTGGCCTAAACCCTGAGAACCAGGCATTCTTGGGACACACCTAGTCTGATGTTCACCGCTCACACAGTTCATTGTTCTGTAGACATGCTGACTGCGGATGTTTTAAAATACCCTAATGTGGATACCGGAGCGTTGCAGATTGGTTTTATGATCTAGAAAATGTTTAGAATACTTTGGAGACTGAAACGGAATGAAACTTTACTGACGATATTAGCAGATAGGACTCGCGCACCGATGTCATCTCATTTTGCCTGTCTTCAGAGAACCTCAGATTCAGTGCACGCTAAATCAGGAGACTGTTTCTGAAACGACACGTGTGGGTTACGTGTACCTCTCTAGAAATCTCCTTTCTCAGCATATTTCCCCTTTCCTGTTAGCAATCCAATTTCCGTTGCAGGATTGCCCTTCACTCACCGAGAGGAGCGTTGATGGGGGCAAACAGCCAGATGCCTGTCTGGTCGGAACTCAATGTGTCGGCCTTTTTGTAGCATTCTCTGAATTCCTCCATGGTTTTTCCAGTAAATTCCCAGTTTTCCTGGCCAAAATTACTTTCTGTGGCCTACAATGGAAGAAATCTAACTGATAAGACAACCCTAGGGATACAGTTAGAAGGCATACCTAACTTTTTTTCCTGTTACTAATGTAAAGTAACAGCAGTGGATCTACAGTGTGCAGTTCTTTACAGAAATGCGGCTTTATAGCCTGCAATTAATGT